ACTCTGAGTGACTTTTGAGTCGACTCAAAAGTCACTAGGTTGTTTCAGGTTAAGCTTCGTTCATTTTCATATGACTATTCGTTTCACCCCAACCTGCTCTTCACTCTGAGTGACTTTTGAGTCAACTCAAAAGTCACTAGGTTGTTTCAGGTTAAGCTTCGTTCATTTTCATATGACTATTCGTTTCATCCCAACCTGCTCTTCACTCTGAGTGACTTTTGAGTCAACTCAAAAGTCACTAGGTTGTTTCAGGTTAAGCTTCGTTCATTTTCATATGAATATTCGTTTCACCCCAACCTGCTCTTCACTCTGAGTGACTTTTGAGTCAACTCAAAAGTCACTAGGTTGTTTCAGGTTAAGCTTCGTTCATTTTCATATGACTATTCGTTTCACCCCAACCTGCTCTTCACTCTGAGTGACTTTTGAGTCGACTCAAAAGTCACTAGGTTGTTTCAGGTTAAGCTTCGTTCATTTTCGTATGACTATTCGTTTCACCCCAACCTGCTCTTCACTCTGAGTGACTTTTGAGTCAACTCAAAAGTCACTAGGTTGTTTCAGGTTAAGCTTCGTTCATTTTCATATGACTATTCGTTTCACCCCAACCTGCTCTTCACTCTGAGTGACTTTTGAGTCGACTCAAAAGTCACTAGGTTGTTTCAGGTTAAGCTTCGTTCATTTTCATATGACTATTCGTTTTACCCCAACCTGCTCTTCACTCTGAGTGACTTTTGAGTCGACTCAAAAGTCACTAGGTTGTTTCAGGTTAAGCTTCGTTCATTTTCATATGACTATTCGTTTTACCCCAACCTGCTCTTCACTCTGAGTGACTTTTGAGTCGACTCAAAAGTCACTAGGTTGTTTCAGGTTAAGCTTCGTTCATTTTCATATGACTATTCGTTTCACCCCAACCTGCTCTTCACTCTGAGTGACTTTTGAGTCAACTCAAAAGTCACTAGGTTGTTTCAGGTTAAGCTTCGTTCATTTTCATATGACTATTCGTTTCACCCCAACCTGCTCTTCACTCTGAGTGACTTTTGAGTCGACTCAAAAGTCACTAGGTTGTTTCAGGTTAAGATTCGTTCATTTTCGTATGACTATTCGTTTCACCCCAACCTGCTCTTCACTCTGAGTGACTTTTGAGTCGACTCAAAAGTCACTAGGTTGTTTCAGGTTAAGCTTCGTTCATTTTCATATGACTATTCGTTTCACCCCAACCTGCTCTTCACTCTGAGTGACTTTTGAGTCGACTCAAAAGTCACTAGGTTGTTTCAGGTTAAGCTTCGTTCATTTTCGTATGACTATTCGTTTCACCCCAACCTGCTCTTCACTCTGAGTGACTTTTGAGTCAACTCAAAAGTCACTAGGTTGTTTCAGGTTAAGCTTCGTTCATTTTCATATGACTATTCGTTTCACCCCAACCTGCTCTTCACTCTGAGTGACTTTTGAGTCAACTCAAAAGTCACTAGGTTGTTTCAGGTTAAGCTTCGTTCATTTTCATATGAATATTCGTTTCACCCCAACCTGCTCTTCACTCTGAGTGACTTTTGAGTCAACTCAAAAGTCACTAGGTTGTTTCAGGTTAAGCTTCGTTCATTTTCATATGACTATTCGTTTCACCCCAACCTGCTCTTCACTCTGAGTGACTTTTGAGTCGACTCAAAAGTCACTAGGTTGTTTCAGGTTAAGCTTCGTTCATTTTCATATGACTATTCGTTTCACCCCAACCTGCTCTTCACTCTGAGTGACTTTTGAGTCGACTCAAAAGTCACTAGGTTGTTTCAGGTTAAGCTTCGTTCATTTTCATATGACTATTCGTTTCACCCCAACCTGCTCTTCACTCTGAGTGACTTTTGAGTCAACTCAAAAGTCACTAGGTTGTTTCAGGTTAAGCTTCGTTCATTTTCATATGACTATTCGTTTCATCCCAACCTGCTCTTCACTCTGAGTGACTTTTGAGTCAACTCAAAAGTCACTAGGTTGTTTCAGGTTAAGCTTCGTTCATTTTCATATGAATATTCGTTTCACCCCAACCTGCTCTTCACTCTGAGTGACTTTTGAGTCAACTCAAAAGTCACTAGGTTGTTTCAGGTTAAGCTTCGTTCATTTTCATATGACTATTCGTTTCACCCCAACCTGCTCTTCACTCTGAGTGACTTTTGAGTCAACTCAAAAGTCACTAGGTTGTTTCAGGTTAAGCTTCGTTCATTTTCATATGACTATTCGTTTCACCCCAACCTGCTCTTCACTCTGAGTGACTTTTGAGTCGACTCAAAAGTCACTAGGTTGTTTCAGGTTAAGCTTCGTTCATTTTCATATGACTATTCGTTTCATCCCAACCTGCTCTTCACTCTGAGTGACTTTTGAGTCAACTCAAAAGTCACTAGGTTGTTTCAGGTTAAGCTTCGTTCATTTTCATATGAATATTCGTTTCACCCCAACCTGCTCTTCACTCTGAGTGACTTTTGAGTCAACTCAAAAGTCACTAGGTTGTTTCAGGTTAAGCTTCGTTCATTTTCATATGAATATTCGTTTCACCCCAACCTGCTCTTCACTCTGAGTGACTTTTGAGTCAACTCAAAAGTCACTAGGTTGTTTCAGGTTAAGCTTCGTTCATTTTCATATGACTATTCGTTTCACCCCAACCTGCTCTTCACTCTGAGTGACTTTTGAGTCAACTCAAAAGTCACTAGGTTGTTTCAGGTTAAGCTTCGTTCATTTTCATATGACTATTCGTTTCACCCCAACCTGCTCTTCACTCTGAGTGACTTTTGAGTCAACTCAAAAGTCACTAGGTTGTTTCAGGTTAAGCTTCGTTCATTTTCATATGAATATTCGTTTCACCCCAACCTGCTCTTCACTCTGAGTGACTTTTGAGTCAACTCAAAAGTCACTAGGTTGTTTCAGGTTAAGCTTCGTTCATTTTCATATGACTATTCGTTTCACCCCAACCTGCTCTTCACTCTGAGTGACTTTTGAGTCAACTCAAAAGTCACTAGGTTGTTTCAGGTTAAGCTTCATTCATTCTCATATGACTATTCGTTTCATCCCAACCTGCTCTTCACTCTGAGTGACTTTTGAGTCAACTCAAAAGTCACTAGGTTGTTTCAGGTTAAGCTTCGTTCATTTTCATATGACTATTCGTTTTACCCCAACCTGCTCTTCACTCTGAGTGACTTTTGAGTCGACTCAAAAGTCACTAGGTTGTTTCAGGTTAAGCTTCGTTCATTTTCATATGACTGCTCTTCTTCACTCTGCATCTCGACACACTTTTCATCCAACTTGTTTTATCGCCTTCTTCCATGGCTCCTAGCCGAGCCTTCTTCCATGCCTCCTAGCCGAGCCTTCTTCCATGGCTCCTAGCCGAGCCTTCTTCCATGCCTCCTAGCCGAGCCTTCTTCCATGCCTCCTAGCCGAGCCTTCTTCCATGCCTCCTAGCCGAGCCTTCTTCCATGGCTCCTAGCCGAGCCTTCTTCCATGGCTCCTAGCCGAGCCTTCTTCAATGCCTCCTAGCCGAGCCTTCTTCCATGCCTCCTAGCCATGCCTTCTTCCATGGCTCCTAGCCGAGCCTTCTTCCATAGCTCCTAGCCGAGCCTTCTTCCATGGCTCCTAGCCGAGCCTTCTTCCATGCCTCCTAGCCGAGCCTTCTTCCATGGCTCCTAGCCGAGCCTTCTTCCATGCCTCCTAGCCGAGCCTTCTTCCATGGCTCCTAGCCGAGCCTTCTTCCATGGCTCCTAGCCGAGCCTTCTTCAATGCCTCCTAGCCGAGCCTTCTTCCATGCCTCCTAGCCAAGCCTTCTTCCATGGCTCTTAGCCGAGCCTTCTTCCATGGCTCCTAGCCGAGCCTTCTTCCATGGCTCCTAGCCGAGCCTTCTTCCATGGCTCCTAGCCGAGCCTTCTTCCATGCCTCCTAGCCGAGCCTTCTTCCATGGCTCCTAGCCGAGCCTTCTTCCATGGCTCCTAGCCGAGCCTTCTTCCATGGCTCCTAGCCGAGCCTTCTTCCATGCCTCCTAGCCGAGCCTTCTTCCATGGCTCCTAGCCGAGCCTTCTTCCATGGCTCCTAGCCGAGCCTTCTTCCATGGCTCCTCCTAGCTGAGTGCTTATGTCATCAAGGAAACACCCTCTTTGTGACATCTTAGCCTAATTAGGTAAATCCACAACGGGCATGGTAACTTGAACTCAGCTTGCATCTCAGTGTAGTGTCTCTTTTTGTTGGCCTCTTGCACCTACATAATGCACTCCTTACAGCTCACCTTCCTTCCACCTACTCATGCTGCCTCTCTCTCATCCTCCCCCTTCCCTTCTCTCATCTCTCCCCCACTTCTCCCACCACTTCTCCCCCCCCACTTCTCCCCATGCGTGTGTCTCTCGTGCGCCTAGCAGCTGCTGCCAGTGCTCTTCTCGGAAGGCGGCAGTGCACGCAAGCTGGTGGAGGCTAAGGGGCTGCTGCAGGTGAGAGACGACTTTTGAGGCGCCTCAAAAGTCGCTGGAAAAGAGACGACATTTAAGGCACCTCAAAAGCTGCTGCCGGTGCTCGTCTCGGAGGGCGGCAGTGCACGCAAGCTGGTGGAGGCCAAGGGGCTGCTGCAGGTGAGTGGACGAGAGGCGCAGCGGTGAGGTGTGATTTTGATAGGTGTGATAAAATCTGTTGTGTATATACACGGACGGAGTGTGCCACAGAGCAGTGTGATATTTCGCATTACATCAACGAACCCACCTTGTTTCGTCGCCGCTTTATCACCTCAGGCTGATTCAGAAAACGTGTCTGGAGTTTCCAAAAAAAAAAAAAAAAACAGAATTTGACACCACTGTTGGACATTTTCTTTCCTCTTGCTTGACTCTCTGCACTCTCATGGCTGCAAGTATGTTCTCAACCATATGGCAAACCCTGTCTGTCCTACTTGCTGCCTGCTGAAGTGGGAGACTGTGTTGCCTGCTGAAGTGGGAGGCTGTGTTAAAACACTTAGTGCATATGCATTGCCAAGCCGTGAACACCGGAGATCCATGTCGGGCTCACGACACCTGTGTGTGTGTTGCGAGTAGAGATGCCCCACGTGATAAAAGTGATGTTTTGAGATCACTTTTATCGGGCTCAAAACATCACTTTGTCGGGCTCGCGACACCTGTGTGTGTGTGTTACGAGCAGAGACGCCCCACGCCATTTGAAGGCTCTTTGCTGCCTGCAACCTGAGAGGAGTCATCCCTCACCCTCTCCATGACCTGCCAAGTGCCCTCCACGGCGCATGCTGCGGTAGGATGGCATGGCATGGCATGGCGTGGCATGGCGTGGCGTGGCGTGGCGTGGCATGGCGTGGCGTGGCGTGGCATGGCATGGCGTGGCGTGGCGTGGCGTGGCGTGGCGTGGCGTGGCGTGGCGTGGCGTGGCGTGGCGTGGCGTGGCGTGGCGTGGCGTGGCATGGCATGGCATATCATCAGATCTCAGACAAGGCGGCCATAGAGCGCCTGTTGGACGAGGTGCTGGCGGGCAACCCCAAGCAGCTGGAGCAGTTTTTTTGAGACGTCTCAAAAATACCCTTTATACGCATGGCATGGCATGGCATGGCATGGCATGGCATCAGATTTCAGACGAGGCGGCCATAGAGCGCCTGGTGGACGAGGTGCTGGCGGGCAACCCCAAGCAGCTGGAGCAGTTCCGCGCCGGCAAGACCAAACTGCAGGGCTTCTTCACCGGGCAGGTGGGCTTCTTCACCGGGCAGGTGGGTTTCTTCTCCGGGCAGGTGGGCTTCTTCACCGGGCAGGTGGGTTTCTTCTCCGGGCAGGTGGGCTTTTTCACCGGGCAAGTGGGCTTCTTCACCAGGCAGCTTGGTGGGTTGGTGAGTGAGAGAGCAGGTGGGTTGAGTGAGAGAGCAGGTGGGTTGCATGAACAGCTGGGCGGTAATGGGGCGCCGAGTTGTGAGGGAATTGAGGTGTGACAAAATTGGGGTGTGAGGGAATTGAGGTGTGAGGGATTTGAGGTGTGAGGAGTTTCTCCTTTTTGGCTGCTTGTGCTCGTTGCAGCATGTTATCATGTTAATTGTTGCAGCTATAAATCGTCGCATTCTGTCTTACTTTGTGCCTCTTTCTGTCCCTCTATCCATGCATGTGGTATGCAACCATGCCCATTCCCCATGCTCCCTGGCAGGTAATGAAGGCATCGGGGGGTCGAGTGAACCCGGCGCTCATGAACAAGATTTTAATGAAGAAGCTTCACGCATCATCGTGACACATGGATGGACCAAGGCAGTAGCAAAACGTTACGCATCATCGTGACACATGGGATGGACCAAGGCAATAGCAAAACGTTACGCGTTATCGTGACACATGGGATGGACTAAGGCAATAGCAAAACGTTACGCATCATCATAACACATGGGATGGACCAAGGCGATAGCAGAATGTAACCCCTTAGGGTGTGTAAAATTGTAATTACCAAACGAAATGGTCGACCATTTGCGGGTTTCTAGAGATCGCGAAGAATTTGAGGTACGGTAACGTCCACAGATGAGCATACATACTATATTAGTTACCCTGACTTGACCAAATATCAATGGTATTGAGAAAGCTTGCTTTCTTATTCTTATCAATTGGCATCATTCTCATTACAAATTGCTTATAACAACATTTGCATCAACGTTGAACACAAGCTAGTGCAATCGAATAACACTAGCTAAGATGTACCCTATCCAAGTGGCATTAGCAAGGCGGTTTACTCTGGGGTGGGTGGTTGGGAATGTTGAGTGAGCCGTTAGAAAATCGAGAAGCGTAGGTGGAGGGAAATGAACTCCAACCCACGGTTTTTGTAGTTGGAGAAGGGCGTTTAGCGCGCTTCGACGATGCCAATTGTGCAATACAAGCAGCTTCGCTTTCACAATACACAATTTTTAAAAACACAATGTGTGTTAAAAAAAAAAAATTTATTGAGAAAGCTTGCTTTCTTATTCTTATCAATTGGCATCGTTCTCATTACAAATGGGGTCTCTGAGACATGGGCAGCGGGGGCCTCCGGTTGCGTACGAGTGCCTCTGAGTGTTGTGCCGATGACGCTGCATGCGTCAGGTCTTTTAGGTTACGGGAGGCTTCGATAAGAGGCTCGACGTATGGTGTAACATACATTTCCTTTGCTGAGTCGCTTCGCCATCTGCCCAGCCGTTTGAAGACCCTGTCTGGCACGCCTGTGTTGGCTGCTACTGTGGCTGCACCTTTTCGGAAAGAATGTGTGCCGAGCTGCAGGTCTCCAAGGCCCACCTTTGCGAAGGCTTCCTTGCACCAGTTCCGGATCGTGGTGTATGAGGGTGGCCTTGCTTGGCCCTCGCTGGTTGAAGCGTGGCCGAAGACCCGAATCAATGGTCCCTCTGACTGTGGGCCATAGCCGGCCAGTTGGATGAAGCGTCGGGTGCAGCGCACTGGGCAACAAGGGTCTGTCGTTGCTGCAATGGGAATCCAAGTGCCATGACCAGCCTGATCGGTCTTGGAGTGTGGTATGAGAATCCACATGACCGCGTCGTCGAATTGGATGTCTTGCCATTTTATGGCTGCCAGGTCAGAATATCGCAGGAATCCTGAGTACATGAGGATGGGGATCAACCCTTTCTGAAACGTCGCGGGATCGTCGGACTGCAAGTAACTCGCGGCCATGTCCCGGACTTGTTGGATCGATACGGGTTCCTTCATACGAGTAGGGCGAGGGCAGTGTCGTTTTGCACAGTCACGGACTTGGGTGGTGAACGGTCCGGTTGTCGGGCATTTGCTCCAAGTCATGCGATGAGCGAAGCTGACCGCCGAGCACGTCAGCTGCACTACGGACAGGGTGGCTTTGCGTTGGATTGCGTGTACCAGGTAGAGTGCGAGGGTCATGTCGGATGCCGAAAGAAATGGGAGGTTCACTTTTGTGCAGAAGGCTCGAAACTTGGCCCAGTATGGTTCGTATGTCCGGATCGTAGAATCAGCGCGAGATTGCGCGAGCATGTTGATCATTTGGTCGTGTAACTTTGGGAGCAAATCTGAACACAGGGCGTTGATGTTTTGAATTAGTCAAATGCCATTCTCAATGCAATAATTGGGCCGTGCGGTAGTCCCATGCCTGAAAAAGCATTGGAATGGGACCCTGCATCTAGGCATTGGCTTCCGTGTGTCAGAGGGATGTGCGCGTGGATGTGTGGAGCCCAAGTGCATGGGGAGGGTTGCAAAAGTGGCCACCAGCTTGCGCCTGGCCAGTGCGGAACTATCAGTGTGAGTGATTCCTGGGTGCGTTGTGCGTGATGGAGGACGGCTGGGACCAGTTGGGGCGGGGGGAAGGCGAAGTTGTTTTCGGGTGTCCACGCGATCGAGAACGCATCAACTGCGATGGCTTCTGGGTGGGGAATCTTTGTGCAGAAGCGCGGCAGTTGGATGTTGCGGGAGTTTGCGAAGAGGTCGATGGAGTGGGGCCCCCAACGACGTTCCAAGATGCGGAACCACGGCGTTTTCAGCGCGTAATCGTCGTGGTCGACCATTTTTTAAAGTTTGTCGGCGTGTGTATTGAGCTCGCGCGGAATCCATTCGATGATCAAGCGCGTGCCAAGCTCCATGCATGTTCGGATGATGCTCTTGCATGCCGTTGCGAGGTCGGGGCTGTGAGAGCCGCCTTTTCGAAGGATGAAGAACACGCCCTGGTTGTCCACCCGCACGAGAACGTGTTTTTGCTTGATCTTGGTCGCGTATGTTTGGAGCGCCCAAAGGACGCCTTTAATCTCCCGTCGCGTGCTGGACGTTCCTCGTAGCGGCTCTGACATGGTTGCGCTGGCTTCTTCGAGGCCGCCCGGAAATGTGGTCAGAGTGGCGCCCCAACCGTGAGAGCTGGCATCCACATGGAATACTGCGTCGTAGCTGTTCCTGACGTGAAAAGGTGTGCCGTTGAAACGGTCAAACTCCTCGAGCCAAAATTGGAGCTCCTCTGCTGCAGATGGGGGGATAACCACGCTGCTTTTCCAAGACGGTGCTTCGTTGATCACTTGTAACATAGCGTGGCTGAATGCGCGAGCGGTCGCGCCAAGTGCGACACCCATTGATGCAAGCATGCCAGTGATTCTGGCCACGTGGCGGACCGGGACTGGTCGGCATGCCCTGCTTGCGCTCAGGAGGTTCCAGATGGTTGCATGTAGTGAGGCTCGTCGGTCGGGACCGATGGAGAATCGGCCGGTATCGCTCTCCAGTTCTACGCCCAGGAATCGGAGATGTTGCGATGGTGAAAGTTGTGATTTCTTCGCGTTTATCACAAGGCCTGCCTCTTTGAGGTCCAATATCACCTGCTGGCAGATTGCTTGCGCATCGGCTTTCGACTGGCAGAGAATTAAGATGTCATCCACGTAAGGTACGACTCGGATGCCATGTTCTCGCCAACGCCGAGCTAGTTGCTTGATGAGCTGTGTAAAGACGAATGGAGTCGTCGCGAGGCCGAATGGTAGTGAACGAAATGCGTATGTGCGCCTATCGAATTCGAAGCCAAGGAACTTCCAGCACGATGGGTGGATGTCGATGTGATGGTAACCAGATTTGAGGTCAATGGAGAACATCCAGTCCCCAACGCGCGCCAGGTCGGCGACACGGCTGAGCCCCTCGTACTTGAACTTGGGGACAATCAAGTTGGCGTTGACCTTTCTCAGATCAAGAATGAGCCTGCATTTGTCTTTTTGCTCGACCACGTTAAGTGGACTTATGCACTTGAGCTCCGTTGCGGCCATCGGAACTGCCGCTCCCGTCTCTATGAGTTCTTGGATGGCGGTACGTGTGAACGTGGCATGCGTGTTCGCCCCGACATGATTGCGATCGTGGAAAGGTTGTGGTGGGCCGTGGCTCCATGGCAACCAGTAACCCTTGGCGATGACGGAGAGAACGAGGCTGCTGGGGCACCATGAGCTCCACCACGCAAAGGTCGCGCGAAGACGACCGCGCATCTGTGTAATAGTTCTGTCTGTAACGGCAAATTCGTACGGGTCATCGTAGCATGCCGCCTCGCACCGTCGTGCTCCTGTGCATGGGAGGCCAAGTGGTATCCGGGTTGAGTATTCCATGTTAAAGCATGTGTGTGCATGTACATGTACGGGCAACCATTGATCAAATGTATGAAGAAATAAAAAAACCGACGGAAATGTCAACGAATGTGTCGGGCGCGAAACGGCGCTTCTTCTTCTCCTCGTTTCCTCCGCTTTTTTTTTTTTTTTTTTTTTCTGCCCATCGTGCACTCGGTAGGATGTGGTTGTGCCTGCCCTTAGTGCATGGGAGATGATGCCTATGGCCATGGACACACTTGTCCATTGTGTTTCTCTTCTTCTCTCTTGTTCTCTCTCTCTTTCTCTCTCTCTCTCTCCATCTCTCTCTCTCCCTCTCTCTCTCTCTCTCTCTCTCTCTCTCTCTCTCTCTCTCTCGCTCTCTCCCTCTCCCTCTCTCTTTCATGCTCTCTCTTACTCGTAGTTCGTGGGGGCTGGTGCGTGGAGTCATGGACATGCGTGCCCACCATGTTGTATCTCGTTCTTTCTCTTGCTCTCTTTCTCTCTCTCTCTCTCTCTCTCTCTCTCTCTCTCTCTCTCTCTCTCTCTCTCTCGCTCTCTCTCACACACACACACACACTCTCTCTCTCTCTCTCTCTGATCCTTCTCTTGATTGTTTCAGAGTCTCTTTGCCAAAACAGTAGGCTTTTAAGAAGGTAGTTTTTTATCAAATCAACCAACACGCATAGCAATGCTCTCCTAGCATGCATCATGCTACTGAGTGGTGAACTACATGGGACCGAGGGGGTTGTTGCTCCCCTTCCCTATCCTAGGCCCAAAGCCTATTCCTACCCTTCACTAGGGCTGGCCTCTTGCCATCGCAAACCCCTAGGGTTGCCCACGGTTTTCGCACTCAAGAGTGCACCGTGCCTAGCGCTCAAGCGCCTATTCCCATGGCCCGCTCCTACACCACCGGAGCGGGTCCTTGGCCGCCGTGCCCGTTCCTAGGGCAGGCACTTGCCACGTGGCCCGGCTGGCCGCAGCGGAAGCACGAGCCCTGAAACCCGCGGCAATTGGCCGTGGGCGGGGGGCCCCGCTTGGGTAAAAACGGCAACGGCGCGTTGTTTCCGTCGCGGTTGGCACGAGCATATCCGCTTGCCGCACGGTCCATTGCCGCCATGTCTGCGACCGCCTGCTTGAAGGGTCGAGAATTCAGCTGGCTCTTCTGCTGGTACAACTTGAAGCGCTTCGCCGTGCGGAAGTCGGATGCGTCCTCCACTTGAAGCACCTCGAAACGCCACGAGATGAGGTTGAGAGCGTGCGAGATGAGTTCGAGTCTGCCCGCTGGGTCTCCGCGCTGCGCCTTATATTCCGCGTGCAGCAGGTACGCGCGCAAGTCCTCCAGCAGCTCCGCTTGCTCTCGCACGGAGTCGTTGACGAATGTTGCCGCCGAGAAGGTGAGGTTAGAAGAAGGGAGGGGGGGAAGGTGTTCCGTGCCATTAAAATTAACATTGTTGACTGGAGCCTCACCGGCTTCATCTTCAGAGTCGTCGGTGTCGTTGTCGACCGCTGGAGCGGGGGGAGCTGCTGCTGCTGCGTCGTTGTCGTGCCGAATGGTCCTTGCTCCTCGCGCGCCTTTTTTCTTTTTCGCATTTTCTTTTTTAGCCGACGCAGATGCAGCGGGTAGTGCAGTTTCCGCGGCTGTAACGCTGACGGGCTGCTGTTGTAGAAGGGACAGCAGCGCGTTGACCTGGTCCGGGGTCAACGCCTGCGTCAACGCAGGGGCGGTCGTCGCGTCAGACGAGGAGACCGCCGTCCGCCTCCTCTGGCGCTGACGCGACGGTCCAGCCGCGGGTGCTGGTGTGTGCTCGGCGTCAGTGGCGTGTGCCACTGGCGCCACTGGTGCCGAAGGGTGCTGCTGGGCGTTGGCCGAATTGTTGACCTCGAGCCCGCCCAGCAGCACGTCCACTGCAGTCGGGGCGGGCGGTCCATCTTCTGCACGTCGCTTGTTACGGCGTTCGCCCGCCAAATCGCGGGTGTTACGGTCGTTGTCGGAGGCGGGGTTGGACGAGTTCCCATTGTTAAGTGTCGGCGTCGGTGCCATCGTTGAGCGATTGAAGTAAAAAATATCGTTGAGTAAGGTCGAAGGTGACTCGCCTCTAGGAAGCGATTTTGTTCCAGCCAGCTTGGACGGAGGGATAAACCACGTAAGCAGAAATGTTGAGTGAGCCGTTTGAAAATCGAGAAGCGTGGGTGGAGGGAAATGAACTCCAACCCACGGTTTTTGTAGTTGGAGAAGGGCGTTTAGCACGCTTCGACGATGCCAATTGTGCAGTACAAGCAGCTTCGCTTTCACAATACACAATTTTAAAAAACACAATGTGTGTTTAAAAAATATAATATCATATGTTTTGACATTCTACAGTGAATACCCTCTTTGGCCAACCTTTGCTCTCGTTTCTTTGGACATGCTCCCCTCCGTCCTAAACCTCGTTTTCTACTAAGTCAGTTTCTCAATGTAAGGTTGCTGTTACCTCTTATTCCTCTAAGCAGTACCGTATATCATTCTTGTTTTTGTATGAAAGTTGTAAAGCAGAAGCAGCTGCTCTCTTACCCATCTTACAAAAGAAGCTCAATATAGTGAATATGTTCAACTCTATCACCCTTTCCTCGGCAGTCCCAAAACCTTTCAGCTGGAGCCAGCCACGTTACTAAAGTTCCTTCTCTAGCGGCGGATCTGTCGCCCAGATCCGTCGCACAGCGCTCATTCGGTACGTGACGAAGGCTCCATATGCTCGCCAGTAGTAACAGTCGCAGTAACACTCGCTAGTAACAATCATGGTAACACTCTCTGGTACCGACATCGCGTAAGGAGATAGCTTGCGACGAAAAGGTGGCGCCAACGAAATGAGGCATTTCGACTACGCACGAAACTGGAGCCCGATCAAACGCTCGTTCGCCAGATCCGTCGCGAGCGGCAGAGCCACGACGTTGCGAAATGTTTCTCCTTCGTGGGCTGATCCGTTGTTTTCAAAAGTTGGCGGGAATGTAGCTCAGGCGACTCGATGAAGCACGAACCTGAAACCCCAATTGAAGCCGCCTCGAGAATGGCTGTGGCGGAACTTCTTTGTAATTTCGACCCACTCTGAAAGCGTCTGACGAGGCGTGCAGAGGAGCGGTCAGCGAGGCAGGTCGAGGGTGAAACTCCAATGTTCAGGCAGAGGCTTGATTTTGAGCAGAGGGGTAGAAATGGGGTCAAAGGTTCATCTTTTCATTCGCACATCCTCCTCTCCTGATCTGTTGATCTTGCTCGTGGAATCTTTGGACCTGTTTTTTCAGTACCCCTGGTCGTCCTCTGCTCGGAGTTCAATCCTCACAGCTTTCAGATCGTGTAGCTGTCCTCGTACCAAGCTTCTGTGAAGCGATCTGTCATCTAGTATCATGGACTGCTGCCTTGTTAACAACGGAGCGGCGAAGACCTTCAACTCGGGTTCGTCAACCTCAAGTCCTGCCACGCCTACCCGAGGCATTGGCAGGTTCGGCACTCCTCGAACTGTGTTTTCCCCTACAGCATCATACTCTTCGATGAAGCCTGCCATTGCCAATATGGCTGATCTGCAACTTCCTGCTGCGGCTTGCGACGGCGACGGTGAGACGTGCTGCAGCAGCGTGCTACTGAAGAGCGTGAGGCCGCTGCTGGAGAATCTGGCGAAGCACCTCGCTGACGGCCAGCACAAGCCCACCTTGAAGGTGCAAGTTGTACCTGGCACACCTGACGTTAAGCGGCCTGGAATCGGCCGCTTCGGAGTCAAGGCTGCAGCTGCTGTGCTTGCACCTGCACCTGTGGTCGTCGCTGCTGCTCCACGCGCACCATCTGCTGCTGCTTCAGCTGCTGCTGCAGTCACGCCATCTGCTGTGGTTGCGCCTGTGGCTCCTGTGGCTGAGGTAGCGCGTGTGGTTCCAGTGACTTCAACCACACCACAGGTGCCTGAAGCGAGTGTGACAACCGAAGCAATATCGGAGGAGGCGTGTGCACGTGCTGCTGATCCGAGTGAGAAAGGTAGGTGGTCGAAGCTGCGTGAGGAGGTTCGAGCTATGGATAATGCAATGACACGTGCTGCTTACCTGAGATGGGACAAGCGGAGCAAGGAGACATCATGGGCCATGGAGATCGAAACCGCCATTGAAGCGGCTCTGCGTACCTGCTTCTTGCCCAAGCACCCTGATGCTGTGGCGAATCAGACTCCCAAAACCGTGCCTCCTGTATCTGCAGCAGCAGCGGCTGTAGCAGTGTCCGCAGCACCAGCTGCTCCTTCCCCCGCAGCTAAAACAACAGTGAAATCACCTGCTGCGGCATCACCAGTGAGAGGAGCAGCAGCAGCAGCACAGAAGCCAAAGCCTGCTGTTGCAGCAAGGTGCAAGGTGGGGGTTGAAAGCGTGAAGGGCAAGAATGGTTGCAGCAGCAAGGTGGTGAGCATGGGTGTCAAGGGTGGTAAGGACAACAACACGCATGCAGGCTCTGCCCAATTTGCAGCAGCAGCGCAGAAGCCAAGGCCTGCCGTGCATGCAGCAGCAGCAGCAGCAGCAGCAGTTGCAGCATCACGTGGCGGTGCATCATCAGTGAGAGCAGCTGGCAAGGCCAGCAGCAGGCAGGCGAGTGGGGTGAAGAGGAGAGAGGAGTATGGGTGTGGGGAGGGAGCAGCAGGGAGGGCAGCAGGTGGAAGGCAGGGTGGTGTGAAGGCAGCAGGTGGAAGGCAGGGTGGTGTGAAGGCAGCAGGTGGCAGAGCAGTGGCAAGTGGCGTGTGTGGCAGGGAGGGGGTGAAGCAGCAGGCGGGGCGGAGAGAGGGTTTGGTGCATGAGAGGGAGGTCAGGCCAGGCTGCCGCAGCAGCAGGGCGCACAGAAGGAGCTCCTGAAGAGCCGCCATAGCAATGGCTGCTCTCAGCATGAAAACATCCCAGAGGAACATGGGCTCCACATACATGGGTACAATACCGAAGGGTGTGCTGGAAAAATGGCGACACTAATGCAACAATTCCCAGCTGCTGCTGGGAATATTTAATAACTTGTAGGTAGCACTACAGACACTGTACATTAGTAGGATGTTAATGCCTTGCCTCTGTGATAGGAGTATCACTTGTAATCTGCAAGTAAATTGCATTATACATTCTCTGTCATCTGGGTGGGTGTAAAGCAGTGAAGCTAGAAAACGCAGCACCACACTAGAGCACGGGATCAATATTAATGTTCCTAGACACTCATGGCCCATAGCCCATGGGTCATTTTGGTACGTTAATTGAGATCCTGAAAGCACGAAGTCCCAGAGGACCATGAAGTGTACATTGATAGGTTGTGACTGGATCAGCTGCCAGCTGCTGTGTTGAACATCTAGACACTGTCCTCCTCCCATACCTGCATGGGTACATGTGTACATGGGTTCATGGGTGAATAAGTGCATGGATATGGGTGCATGGGTGCATGGGTTCATCAGGGTCACATAGCAGAAAAAGGTGTTGGGTGGATTGATGAAACGCATGTTCTTACAACGAGGGTTCCTGGGTTCATCGGTGTATGGGTGTGTAGGTGTGTGGGTGCCTGCATGCGTGTGTGGGCTCATGGGTGCATGACTGGATGGGTGCAGAGTGCACGGGTGCATAGGTGAATGGTGCATGGCTGACATAGCGAGGCATGGGGTTGGATGATGTGACTGAGAACCTCGGATGGAGGGCAGCAGGGGAAAAGTGTTCTTCTCAAGTAAAGACGTCGTTTCCGAAAAGGGGAGGTGAAGTAAGTGAGGATTGAGTGTGGGGAGTGGTGTTGAGAGGAGGGGAGAGAATGGAAGCAGCAGAGTCAACGGAGAGAAAACGTGGGAAGAGTCAAGGGAAGTAGAGGAAGAGGACAGGGCGTTGGGAGGTTGGAGAGGGCGAGAGCGATTCACATGAGTGCGTTGCTGGCAATCAGCTGCCCTGCTGGTTAGCAGTGAAGGAGCAAGTGAGATGGCAAGGCAAGGAGGCGGCAAGTGGCAAGCAGGAAGAGATGGAGAGAACCGAGATGGGAAGTGAGATGGCAACCGAGAAACTGAAATTGAAATGGCAGCTGAAATTGAGATGACATTTGAAATGGCAGTTGAGATGGCAACTGAGAAACTGAGATGACGATTAAAATGGCAAGCGAGAACGCAAGTGAGATGACAACTGAAACGTCAAATGAAATGGGAAGTGAGAGATGGCAGCTCAAAGTCAACTGAAGTGGCTACCGCGATGGCGATTGATACGGCAACTGCAATAGCAACTGAAATGACAACTGAAATGACAACTGCAAAGGAAAATTTTATGGCCAACTGAGATGCAAACTGAAACGGTAATTGGCATCGCAACTGAATCGGCAACTGAATTGGCAGCAGAAATGACATATCTGATGGCGATGCAAGAGCTGACTGAAATGGAAATTGAAGTGGCAACTGAAATGTCAACTGAGATGTCAATTGACGTGGCACATAAAATGGCAGCTACCATGGCAACCTAAATGGCAACCGGGATGGCAACTTGAATGGCAGATGATATGGATATCAACGGATGGCTCAGATCAGGGTGAAGGGGGGAAACGGGACGCTTTGGAACGATGTCCAGTTGGCCTTGTGCCCATTCGAGGGGAAGCATGGGACCCATTAGATGTCAGCAAGCAGCAAGATTAGACTTGTCTCAGAAGACAGGAGGAAACAACTACGACACGGGAAGGGATGGGATGGGATGGGATGGGATGGGATGGGGTGTGTACATGGCCTGATGGTAGGTGATGCCACCTGTTCTACACCCCCTCCAAAGCAGAATTCTCATGTTTAACCCTTGAGCCGTCTATTACTAACCTGCACCATGGAAAGGTGCGAATGAATACTCTGTACAGAATCGTGATGTGTTTACACGGTGAGCGTTTCGCCATGAATTGACCATGCAATGGGATGGGATGATGTGGGTTATTGCATGTACTAGTGTGTTTAGCATGAGCATGTTTCCGGACAGTTAGGAATCACTCACCGACAAAAAGTCATTTCCAACACTCAGGTAGTCAGTGTGTCAATGAGAAGGTATTATTTTTACTCAGATTCTTGGTATACATGCGGAAAAAGCATAACCTTACTGTATATATGTACAGATGCTGCGAGCGGCTCTACTCGTCATCGTTAATGAACCTCCCTGTACCGGGGTTGATAGCGGCGATGAAGAAGAAGGCGATGCTGGCGAGCAGCAGCGGCTCCAGCTCCCACACGGGCAAGCCAGTCTCGATATTCAGCTGCGCCAGCGCGCCTCGCCCGGTGATCACCTCGCCCACCAGGCTCGCCGCGAACCCCAGTTGCGCCATGCGCCCCACGAACAGCTCGTTTGACTTGGTAAACCCGAACAGCGGCCCCTCCTCGCTCAACCCCAGCGCCGCCTTCACGCTCCCCGGCTTCACCGGCGGACCCGCCGGCGCCTCGTCGTCCACGAATCGCCCGCGGTCGCCCAGCCCGCCGATGGCGCCGAGCACGGTGAATGCGATGAAGAAGAGAAGCAGCGGCTCGGCTTCCGTGATGGGGATGCCCGTCTCCAGGTTCAGTTGCGAAAGGATTCCCTGCCCGGTTACCGCTTCGCCCAGCAGCGACGCCGCGAATCCGAGCATCGCCACGCGCCCCACGAAGAGCTCATTGGCTTTCGTGAAGCCGAAGCCGCCGGATGTGCCGAAGATGCCGTCCTCGGTGCGCAGTTGCTTCTTTACGGGGGAGGTCTTAGCGGGGACGGCGGCCTTATTGAAGCCGAGGAGGGCGGTCACGCCGAGACCGCGGGGAGCGACGATGGGAGCTACTGATAGGCGATTGGCGGAGAGAGAAGCGCCCTTCACTGCTGCGCTGAAGGAAAGAGCGGCGAGCGATTGGTGAGCGATGAGGGAGAAAGCCGTTGTGATAAATTATTGGAAATGTGATAGCGTGAACAGCTCGTAAAAGAGAAAGTAATCGTGATATCAGGCAGGTGATCAACTTCAGATGGAAAGCACGGGTTACGCAGGCGCATTTATGTGTTTACCAAGCCGCTAATTGAAATTGACTGTCGAGCAGGACGGGAGCTGGATACCAGAATGAAAGCAGAAATTCATCGTGAGACGTGGCTGTGTAACTGAAGCGCCACGGTGGATGTTCTGCTTCAGCATGCCCCATTCCCGGAACGAATGCCAGCCGCGTGGCCTTGTTTTTGCCATCAATGCTGGCACGTCAGATCTCTGGAAGGTGGGGCTGGGGGAATCTGACGTGTCCTCTGGAACTTTTTGGGACCATCGAGCACCGACTGCAGAGTATCGCTGGCATTGACCCTCAGCGAACTGATTTGCTGGACAGAATGGGATGAGGGTTTCGGACACGAATTTAGAGGTTCACTCGTTGTGTTTAGAGTATACCGTAGTACACTTGTTTTTTATTGTTAAGTTCAATATACCCACTCTGCTGCTGCCTGTGAGATGAGAGCGAATCAGAGAAGACAAACACAGCAATAATGACCTGGTGTCTTGGTCCCTGTACAATGCAGGTGTGGCTTGGTACACCCCCTAGTGGATTTTAGATGGGATGTAGGGGCAAATATGTTATAAACAACGATATGACGTGACAATGTCGCAACCCCCAACCAGCTACCGGTCATTGCATCCATGAAACCAGGTTAACAGACCAAGTTTTTTTCATCCACTTTACAAGAGCTACAGACCTAATTATTCAAGGTACTGCTTCATCTGCATGCACGCATCACTTGGCCTGTGGGTGTGATGCAATGTAAGCGATAGCATCGGCACAGGATTGGATTTTATCGGCATCGGCATCGGGGATCTCGACAGCAAACTCCTCCTCAAACGCCATCACCACCTCCACCCCGTCTAGCGAGTCCAGCCCCAAGTCCTTCTGGAAGCTCGCCGTGGGGGTCACCTGCACAGGCACACAGATACAAAAGACGATGTTTTAAGCACCCCAAAAAAATCCATCACCACCTCCACCCCATCTAACAGGTCCAGGCCAAGGTTCTTCTGGAAGTGGTCAGCTGGGGTCACCTCCTTCACCCAGTCCAGCGCCAGCCCCGGGTCGTTTTGAAAGTGCGCTACATCACAGGCATGGGGGATCAGCAGGGTATGCACATGGGACGAACACGGGTGGACATGGAATGGCGACGGGATGATCACGAGATGATGAAAGGAGGAGATGGCAGGAGCGCAGATGACATGAGCCATAGGAGTCTCAAGTGCCAGGGGGAATAAAAAGAGAGGAATGCGGAACGGGGGACAGAGGGAAGAACGGAGGAGGGAGAGCGAATGAGTGGGGGATACAGGGATAGAGGGACAGTGAGAGAGGGAGGGAGGAAAGGAAGGAAAGGCGGTGAGGACCAAAAGGTACAGGCTGACCACTCACTGACACACCTCACTTCCCACTCGTCCGCTCCGCTTCCCCATCGTCACCACCGTTCCCGCAGCGAAAGCCGCAAGTAGGTGCGAACCATGCATCTTACGGCCTTATGCCGCACGCAGGCGCATCGGCGGAGACACGCAGGCGCGACTCGAATGCGCGCCGAATCTGCGGGATCAAGTCACTTCCCGCCCAGCACCAAGACACGCTGGCGTCAACTCGGCGCCCCGTGCACGCAACCTTTGTTGATCAATGCGAGCGCATCCTCAATTTCGAACGAACACAGACAGCTACGCGAACCACGACAACCTTAATAACTCAACGCCGCGACAAGCGTGCCGCCGTCATTCATCGCGATCTTACCAGTTTCGGATCCACCTTCTGGAACTTCTTAACTACGTTCAGCACGCGCTCCGTGACCGCGTCCTTGTCGAGGTAAGTGCCAGCCGACTCCGCGAACCCGCGGCTCGGGGCTCCGCCGGCCGGCGCGCTGCCGACGCGTGACCAGAAGGAGGGCGTCACGGGTAGCCGCACGTGGCCCAGGACGGCGGATCTGACGAGCGCGAAGGCGGCTGCTGGTGCGCGCTGCATTTTGATGGTCGGTCGGCGGATCGACACGTGGCACGATGGATGCGGAGGCTTAAAAAAGTGTGGAGATGGAAAGAAAAGCGGACCGAATGGCGGATGTGGCGGCGGGATTGGCGGATCGAGCAGAAGGGACAGATGGTGGGGTGAAAGCGTGTGCGAGGGTTGTGCAGTTTGTGAGGCGGAATGCGGGAAATGGGGAAGGCGGTGGAAGGAGGGGGATGGCCTGGGAGAAGGTTGTGCGCGGGGGAGCGAGAAGGGGGCAAAAGAAGGGAACAGAAGAAGGCGAACAAAAGGGGAAGTTGGAGATTTTGTACATAATGTTTTGATAAGTGAAAGGTATCATTTCAATCCAAATTTTATGTATTTCGTGAGGCTTTGCAATGTGGAGTATACATGTCTCCACATAAAACGAGCTTCAGTTTGGGTTGCCAAGGTGGATAATCTCTGGCCACGGACGAATGTTTAAGCCGATGTGGCACTGGTTTCCAACTGTTCTGGATCCTTTGTGACACGTGTCAGCTGTACGAATTTCAACGTGATGAAACCCAAGTTTGGCTTAGATGAGTGCAACGCTGGTGGTTGTCTGTGCTGATGTTGTGACGAAGGAGGGTATCGGACAAATATACTCAAAACGTTCCGACCACCGTATGGCTACCACAGCCACCCAAATTGCAACTGAATGTGAATCCGATCTTTTTGAATGAAGTGTATGGACAAAAGGGTGTGAAACCAGGAGTAGAAGTGTAGCTTGGTACGAGAAGCGGGTTTCCTAAAAGTAACTAGAACCGCAATCACGGGACAGGGGAGCATTCAGTAGGAGATGGTGGCACTTCAATTCTTACAGGGTAGTAACTTTCCATCGGGGCTACTAGCCCTAAGATTTGTAAGAACCAAATGACATTCGTAGGCTGTTTCGTTGCTCACCCCTCCATCCACTACATCACTCCCCCACCATCACTCCACTCCATTCCAACATTCACTCCACAAGATTCATTTCATTCTGCACCACCAGAGTCACTGCACTGCAATGGCTGCCACTACTGCTTCCTCTGTTGCTTCCGTCAGCTCCTTGGCTGGCCGTCAGTCGCGCCTAGCAGTAAGCCCGTTTCCGCTGTACCCTCACCTTGCCTCTCGCTCGCAATCTCGTCTCTTGCCGCGTATATTGACCATACAATTGCTTCTATCCCAGTCAACAACATTCGACACATCGTGTATCTTTGCCTCTGCGCTCGCTCTCTCTCACGTTGCTCTCCTCGCCACTCGCGTTCCCCGTGATGTCTTTTGTCGCCTTGCAGCCGCCTCAACGGCAGACCGTTGCGCCCTTCCTCTCGTCAAGCGCATTCTCCCGCGGCCAATCAGGTGAGCCCACTACGGTTTGCGCTGAACGAATTGTTTCTTAAACGACTTAACTTCGCCGGCCCCGTATTGACTCGTGGTGATTGTGAGCTACGGCGGAGCATCACGGGGTTGGCTTGCATGGCACTTTGCGGCATGGCATTGCCGTTGCCGTGTGCCTGTGAAGTTGAGTGGGGGCAAATGGAATTTGAGGGACTAGCCACTGCGAAGCGTAACGCATAGACCTTATATCACGAGGCATCACGGCGAGCTATTTCGACATAGACCTTATATCACGAGGCATCACGGCGAGCTATTTCGACATAGACCTTATATCACGAGGCATCACGGCGAGCTATTTCGACATAGACCTTATATCACGAGGCATCACGGCGAGGCACGTACGCAATCACGACGCACCATGGCCAGACACATATATAGTCGCAGCAAAGCGCGATCGCGCATCGCATCCACTCATAGCAGCTGAACTGGCCTGGCTCTAATCTCCCGCACTCGCGTCTTGTGCAACGCCCGCTGCACTTCACTGAGGCGAAATTCCATCCGCCGTTGCCGTCCGCATTACCTTCCCTTATCTCTGCCTTCCCTTATCTCTGATATGGCCCGCCTCAGCTTTGGCCATAGCATGTGTTTCTCTCTGCCCTTTGCCCGCTGTCCGAAAGAATGCGTTATAATCACTTGTTGCTCTCTTTCCCATTTTCCCGTCTGCAGCACTGCGCGCCAATGCCACGTCAGCAAGGCCCGCTGGCGTGGAGGGGCCGTCTCTCCGCCACGTGGCACCACAAGCTGCGTTGGTGAAGGGAAAGAGGTGAGCTGTGGGGAAGAGAGGAAGACAGGTCTGTGCTCATGAAGAAGGGCAGCAGTAGGCAAGGTCGCCTTTAGCAAAGGGACGATAGTCAAACAATGAAGAGAGGAAGACAGATGCGTCAAACAGGTCTAATATGAAGGAAAGGCTCGCGCTAAGGAGATGCGAAAGAGATGGGCTACGGGGAAAATGGAGAAACGGAGAGACAATGGTTGATCAGGGATAGATGGGAGAGGCAACGGTCAGGAAGGCCTGAGAGCACGCGGATGAGAGGATGGGCTAGGTCGTCTCTGTGATGAGAATAAGCGGGGGGCGGAGGACAAGGAAGATCAGCGTGACACTTCCACCCTCAACTCGTCCCGGGCCCTTCCTTCCTATGCGTCCCTCTCCACTCCACGTCTTTCGAGGCGCCTCAAAAGCCCTTCCTTCCTATGCGTCCCTCTCCCTCTTCACGCGTCCCTGCCTGCCCAAATCCGTTTCGTCACCCCGTTCTAGATGCCCTTTCCTCTCCGTGCACCCTGTCTGCACCTCCCATGCACTTGCGCGCCGTCTTTTGAGGCGCCTCAAAAGTCGTCTCCGTGCACCCTGTCTGCACCCTGTCTGCACCTCCCATGCACTTGCGCGCCGTCCCTCCTCCTCATCCCTCCCTCCCCCCAGCAACGGGTCGCACAAGGTGAAGGGGTCGGAGCGGCCGGTGATGGAGGACAGGGTGGCACCCCAACTCTTGTGTTTTCCACCCCTTTCTGCCTCGCCCCACCCCCCTCCCCCACTCCCCACCTTTCCTTCCCGTTGCCCCCGGTTCCCAGCTATGGCGTGCACAAGGTGAAGGGGTCGGAGCGGCCAGTGATGGAGGACAGGGTGGCGACGGTGGTGGAGGGGGAGAAGAGCCCTTCCTTCTTTGCCGTGTTCGACGGCCATGGGGGTGCTGCTGTCGCCGAGTGAGTGGGGGGCTGGATGGTTTTTGAGACGTCTCAAAATTCGACGGCCATGGGGGTGCTGCTGTCGCCGAGTGAGTGGGTGGGGGGCTGGATGGTTTTTGAGACGTCTCAAAGTTCGACGGCCATGGGGGTGCTGCTGTCGCCGAGTGAGTGAGTGGGGGGCTGGATGGGGGAGGGTGTGCATGCGTGTGTGGGGCATCACCGCAATTGGTTGGTAGGTAGTGCACGTGCGCACTGAGAAACGCCAAGCCTTCTTTTCTGTATTATAAAAAGTGCAGTTTTGAGACGTCTCAAAACTACACTTTTATTGTGTGGGGCATCACCGCGGTTGGTTGGTAGGGCATGTGCGCACTGAGAAACGCCAAGCCTTCTTTGCTGTGTTTGACAGCCATGGGGGACCCCGCTGTCGCCGAGTGAGTGGTGGGTTGGATGGTTGGGAGTGGGGCACACAGGCACACGGGCGTCTGTTTGCTGAGGAGGGGTGCGTGCGTGTTGAAATGTCCTCGGAGTTGCAGCGCTGAGAAGTTATTTGGGTGCGTGCGCGTTGAAATGTGTCAAGTGCACAGTGAAGAAACGCCCTGGGGGAGTTGCAGCGCTGCGAGCTGGTTGCTTTTCTGTGCAAGGCTGGATTCGCACTCATTCACTCATTGGTCGCTTTGGCTTGGCCTGTCTGCCTCTCTCCTACACGCGCTTACTTTTGAGTCGACTCAAAAGTCAACTTGGCCTGTCTGCCTCTCTCCTACACGCGCTTACACCAGGTTCTTGGAGAAGGAGCTGTGGCCCGCATACAAGAAAGCCATTGAGAGTGAGTGCCGTACCATGCTTGCTTGCATGCTTCGTGGCTCGTGTGTCTGTGTGCGACATGTCACATGCACATGTAATAGTTCTTGGGGAAGGAGCTGTGGCCCGCATACAAGAAAGCCATTCAGAGTGAGTGCCATGCCGTGCTTGCTTCAGTGCGGTTTTACCTTCTTCCCATCCTTGCTCCCTTCCTTTTTTAACCTCACCTATCCAATTCATCCAATGCGTTCCTTCCCATTCCCACATCTCCCCACTGCCTGCCACACTCGAATAAGTGCATTCCCGTTTCCGTGTCTCACTATTGCCACATTCTAATACGTGCATGTTCCTCACGCCTCTCCCTCCCTGGCGTCTCCCATTCCTCCATCCCTCCCATCTCACCTCCATCCCTCCCATCTCACCTCCATCCCTCCCATCTCACCTCCATCCCTCCCATCTCACCTCCATCCCTCCCATCTCACCTCCATCCCTCCCATCTCACCTCCATCCTCCCATCTCACCTCCATTCCTCCCATCTCACCTCCATTCCTCCCATCTCACCTCCATTCCTCCCATCTCACCTCCATTCCTCCCATCTCACCTCCATTCCTCCCATCTCACCTCCATTCCTCCCATCTCACCTCCATTCCTCCCATCTCACCTCCATTCCTCCCATCTCACCTCCATTCCTCCCATCTCACCTCCATTCCTCCCATCTCACCTCCATTCCTCCCATCTCACCTCCATTCCTCCCATCTCACCTCCATTCCTCCCATCTCACCTCCATTCCTCCCATCTCACCTCCATTCCTCCCATCTCACCTCCATTCCTCCCATCTCACCTCCATTCCTCCCATCTCACCTCCATTCCTCCCATCTCACCTCCATTCCTCCCATCTCACCTCCATTCCTCCCATCTCACCTCCATTCCTCCCATCTCACCTCCATTCCTCCCATCTCACCTCCATTCCTCCCATCTCACCTCCATTCCTCCCATCTCACCTCCATTCCTCCCATCTCACCTCCATTCCTCCCATCTCACCTCCATTCCTCCCATCTCACCTCCATTCCTCCCATCTCACCTCCATTCCTCCCATCTCACCTCCATTCCTCCCATCTCACCTCCATTCCTCCCATCTCACCTCCATTCCTCCCATCTCACCTCCATTCCTCCCATCTCACCTCCATTCCTCCCATCTCACCTCCATTCCTCCCATCTCACCTCCATTCCTCCCATCTCACCTCCATTCCTCCCATCTCACCTCCATTCCTCCCATCTCACCTCCATTCCTCCCATCTCACCTCCATCCCTCCCATCTCACCTCCATTCCTCCCATCTCACCTCCATTCCTCCCATCTCACCTCCATTCCTCCCATCTCACCTCCATTCCTCCCATCTCACCTCCATTCCTCCCATCTCACCTCCATTCCTCCCATCTCACCTCCATCCCTCCCATCTCACCTCCATTCCTCCCATCTCACCTCCATTCCTCCCATCTCACCTCCATTCCTCCCATCTCACCTCCATTCCTCCCATCTCACCTCCATTCCTCCCATCTCACCTCCATTCCTCCCATCTCACCTCCATCCCTCCCATCTCACCTCCATTCCTCCCATCTCACCTCCATTCCTCCCATCTCACCTCCATTCCTCCCATCTCACCTCCATCCCTCCCATCTCACCTCCATTCCTCCCATCTCACCTCCATTCCTCCCATCTCACCTCCATTCCTCCCATCTCACCTCCATTCCTCCCATCTCACCTCCATTCCTCCCATCTCACCTCCATCCCTCCCACCTCACCTCCATTCCTCCCATCTCACCTCCATTCCTCCCATCTCACCTCCATTCCTCCCATTTCACCTCCATTCCTCCCATCTCACCTCCATTCCTCCCATCTCACCTCCATTCCTCCCATCTCACCTCCATGCCTCCCATCTCACCTCCATTCCTCCCATCTCACCTCCATTCCTCCCATCTCACCTCCATTCCTCCCATCTCACCTCCATTCCTCCCATCTCACCTCCATTCCTCCCATCTCACCTCCATCCCTCCCAACTCACCTCCATCCCTCCCACCTCACCTCCATTCCTCCCATCTCACCTCCATTCCTCCCATCTCACCTCCATTCCTCCCATTTCACCTCCATTCCTCCCATCTCACCTCCATTCCTCCCATCTCACCTCCATTCCTCCCATCTCACCTCCATGCCTCCCATCTCACCTCCATTCCTCCCATCTCACCTCCATTCCTCCCATCTCACCTCCATTCCTCCCATCTCACCTCCATTCCTCCCATCTCACCTCCATTCCTCCCATCTCACCTCCATCCCTCCCAACTCACCTCCACGCCATGCTCCCTGTCCTCATCCATCCACCCTGCCCCCATGTACCCCCACCCGCGCACCTGCACTCCCCCCTCACCCCCACCCGCGCACCTGCACTCCCCCCTCACCCCCAGCCGCGCTGAGCAAGGGCACGAGCCTGGAGAGGGCAACGCTGCGCGCGTATGAGGAGGTGGACAAACGCACTCTGGTGAGCGAGGCAGCAATTAAGGCCACGTGGCATGGGGCATGGGGTAGTGCTGAACAATAGGATGGGGTAGCAGGTGAATAGATGCTGAGCAAGAAGGGCTCGAGTCTGGAGAGGGCGACGCTGCGCGCGTATGCGGAGGTGGACAAGCGCACTCTGGTGAGTGAGCCTGCACACACGGACATGGGGCATGGGGCATGGCGCATGGGGCACGGGTCATGGGGCACGGGGCATGGGGCATGGGGCACGGGGCATGGGGCATGGGGCACGGAGCATGGGGCATGGGGCATGGGGCATGGGGCACGGGGTAATGCTGAACTATAGGTGAATAGCTGCTGAGCAAGAAGGGCGCAAGCCTGGAGACAGCAACTGTGCACAAGCGCACTCTGGTGAGAGTGAGGGGTGGAAAGATATGCCATGGGTGGGGGTAAATTGGTATGCCGTGAGTGCGGGGGTGAGGTGGTATGTGGTGAGTAGCTGAGCAAGGGCACGGGCTTGGAGAGGGCGACCCTGCGCGCATATGATGAGGAGGTGGACAAACGCACTCTGGTGAGAACGAGGGGTGGATGGGGAGGAATGGCATGTGAGAGAGGAGGTGGATGCACGCATGGGGTGATTTGCTGAGTAAGGGCACAAGGGTAACCGTGCGGGCCTATAAGGAGGTGGACAAGAGCACTCTTTTTTTAGAAAAGGTGGACAAGAGCACTCTGTTTTTTGAGAATTCTCAAAAAACACTCGCGGGCCTATAAGGAGGTGGACAAGAGCACTCTCTATGGTAAGTGAGCGTGCAAGACAAGCGCATGAGGTACTGGGTGTATAGCTGAGCAAGGGCACGAGCCTGGAGAGAGCAGCCTGGTGAGGGCAGGTGCATTCACGGCTTCTGGCTTGTGCAAACCCAAAGGGTGACTGCGTAGCTTGCGAGGTGGACCCTGGTGGTGAGAGTGAGGGTTGGATGGATGGTGTGCCGCAGGTGGGGGTGTGATGGTATGGAATGGTGTGGCATGCGGGCGGACAGGTCGTTTTACAGTTGAAGGGTTGCACAAGGGTTGCACATATGCCTACAATGGGCCAATCTAATGCCTACAATGGGCCAATCTAATGCCTACAATGGGCCAATCTAATGCCTACAATGGGCCAATCTAATGCCTACAATGGGCCAATCTAATGCCTACAATGGGCCAATCTAATGCTCTCCCTTACCCTCCCACCTCACTCATTCCCACTCCTCAAGGAGATGCATAGGGGTTCTTTAGCATGATGATGGAGCATGGCATGGGCGGCCCCATGTGCGGCCCAAGTGCACTCACATCTTCTTCCTCCCATTCTCTCCTCGCCCCCCCTCTTCACCAGGCGCCACCCAAGGGGTTCTTTGGCATGATGATGGGGCGCGGCATGGGCGGTCCCAAGTGCGGCTCCTGTGAGGGCAATCTTAGGTCTCCTCGCCTCGCTCTCATAATACCCCCACAGAACACGTGAAAGAAGGAGTGTTTTGAGACGTCTCAAAACACTCCTGTGAGGGCAATCTTACTTCTCCTCGCTATGATAATAATACCCCCACAAAACAACCTCTACCCTCCCACCCCCCTCACTCCCCCTAGGCGCCCCCCAAGGGGTTCTTTGGCATGATGATGGAGCGCGGCACGGGTGGTGGTCCCAATCTTATTTCTCCTCTCTCCTCCCCTCAAACTCCCCCGCTCTCTACCCTCCCCCCCCCACCCCCAGGCGCCCCCCAAAGGGTTCTTTGGAATGATGATGGAGCGCGGCATGGGCGGCCCCAAGTGCGGCGCCTGCGCCAACACCGCTGTCATTCTGCCCCAGCCAGGTGAACACAACAGAGTGCTGCCGCACCTGCCAGGTGAAAACAACAGAGTGCTGGCACGGCACCTGCCAGGTCAAAGTTAGTGAGAGGTTCTACTTCCTGTCAGGTGCAGGCAAGAGAGGTGCTGGCCAGCGATTTATGCCAGGTGAAAACAACAGACAGCTGTAATTCCTGATGAGCGCAACATTCTTCTGGTTACCCCTGCCCGACTCCAACCTGGCTCGTGCCCTGCTGCTAAGTGCCCATGTGCCCATGTGCCCATGTGCCCTCCAATCCAGGTGTATGAAGATTCATTTTGAGACGTCTCAAAACGACTCCAACCTGGCTCGTGACCTGCTGCTAAGTGCCCATGTGCCCTCCAATCCAGCCACAGCCCTCACATGCCCTCTCCCTCTCTCGAACAGTCCTTCTGATTGAACGTGCCCTCTCACGTCTCTCTCCCTCTCCCCCTCTCCCTCCCTCCAAACGGCTCATACCAGCTGGTAGCGGCCAACGTGGGGAACTCGCACACGTACCCAACTTTGATCGCTCACTTCCCTTGCTCCTTCCCTCTCCCCCTCTCCCCCTATTCCCCTCTCCCCCTCTCCCTCCCACCAGACGGCTCATACCAGCTGGTAGCAGCCAACGTGGGGGACTCGCACACGTACCTGTCGCGGGCAGGGGAGCCCGTCAAGCTGAGCGAGGACCACAAGGTGGGGGGTAGAAAGGGTGGGCGGGGAGTGGGTAGTGGTTGGGTGGGTGAGTGGGGGTTGAGTGCGTGGGTGGGTAGGTGGGTGGAGGCAGAGTGGGGAATGTGACGGGCCACGTCCTGTCGTGGGTAGGCGCGAGGACCACAAGGTGGGGCGTAGAAAGGATGAGGGGTGGGGTATGAGTGGGTGTGTGAGTGGATGTTGAGTGGGTGGGTGGGAGGCAGAGAGGGAATATGAGCGGCCACGTACCTGTCGCGGGCAGGGGAGCCTGTCAAGCTGAGCGAGGAGTACAAGGTGGGGGGCGGAAAGGGTGGGAGGGGACGGAGTGGGTGGGAGGAGGGGGGGGGGGGGGGGGGGGGGGAGAGTCGGAGTTCCCATTTTGACTGTGAGTCTGAACTGTGATGGCAGAAGGGGGTTTGGGCTGCATCCTGCAACACTCACATGACACCTGGTAGATGACATGGCGGCCACCCATCTGCCCATTTTCCCATCTCCCCACCACATCTCCTTTCTCCCATCTCCCAGCTTCCACCTCCCCATCTCCTTATTCCTTCAATCCCCGTTTTCTCAAATCCCCATCCCCTCTCCCTGCATGCCCGCTCTCCCCCCCTGCAGCCCAACATAGAGGCGGAGCGCATGAGGATGGAGCGCAAGAAGACTGTTAAGTCGACTAGAAGCAGCCTCCTCCCACCATCTCCGCATCTCCCATCTTCCCACGCCCCACCGCCCCGCTGCCCGTGCTCTCGCCCCCTGCAGCCCAACATAGAGGCGGAGCGCATGAGGATCGAGCGCAAGAACCCCACCCCCGGACAACCACTGGTATGTCAGCGCGACTGGCAGAGACTCTGCGGGTATGTTAGGCTGGCGGGTGCTGGTATGGTAGGCTGGTATGTCAGGCTGGTACGGCAGGCTGATTCGGCAGGCTGGTACGGCAGGCTGGTTCGGCAGGCTGGTACGGCAGGCTGGTACGGCAGGCTGGTATGGCAGGCTGGTATGGCAGGCTGGTATGGCAGGCTGGTATGGCAGGCTGGTTTGGCAGGCTGGTATGGCAGGCTGGTATGGCAGGCTGGTATGGCAGGCTGGTATGGCAGGCTGGTATGGCAGGCTGGTATGGCAGGCGCACTGTGGAGCGATGACTGTGGCGCGTCTCACTTGGCCCCTGCAACAGACACAGCACCGGCTGCTGCGTTTGAGTCGACTCAAAAGCACCTGCTGCTGCGGCAGGTGCTCCTTTCCCCCCTTACTATCTCAGACCCCATCAGTGCATGTCATTGCGTGCCTCTAGTTGCCATGCCGCATGGTGGGGTTGCACGGATGGGGTTTGAACCAAGCAACCCCTATGCTTGCCTCACTCCGTCTCATCTGTTATGCACTCCCCCACACTCCTCCTCTGATCCCTCCCCCACACTCCGCCCCTGCCCCCCCCCCCCCTGTCACGGCACGCCCTCCTGACTGCACTGCAGGTGCGCATGGCGGGGGGCGAGTGGCGGGTGGGAGGGCTGCTGGCGCTCTCGCGTGCCTTTGGAGACGTCTACCTCAAGGAGTGAGTATTGAGTATCACTACCCTGCCATAGGAGTCAGTCCCGCTACCCTTCCATAAGTCCGGCCGAAACGTGCGGTACATGCGACTCCAGTAACCAGTTCCTTTACTAAGTGACTCATTGCAGTCCTTTCTCTACTACTTTGTCTGCTCTAGCGACTCGCATGGAATGTAGCAACTGAGATTTGATTTCGAATCTGTGGAGGCACCAGAGCTTGCTGCGGTTCGAATCCTTCCACTTTTTTTGGACGAGTACCTCAAGGAGTGCCCTGCATTGCCTCATTGTCTCATCACCTCATTGCCTCATGATCCCGTCACATCTCGCCCTCTCCCTCCTTCCCGCATCAGCTGGAGCGATGGCACCAGGGACACCTCATTGCCTCATTGCCTCATTCCCTCGGCAACTCATCACCACATGGCCTCATTGCCTCTTGGCCTCGTCACATCACGCCCTCTCCCTCCTTCCCGCATCAGCTGGAGCGATGGCACCAGGGACACCTCATTGCCTCATTGCCTCATTCCCTCGGCAACTCATCACCACATGGCCTCATTGCCTCTTGGCCTCGTCACATCACGCCCTCTCCCTCCTTCCCACATCAGCTGGAGCGATGGCACCAGGGACGGCGCGCGCGGTGGCTTTGGGCTCACTGCTGAGCCCTATGTCACTGTCCTCACCCTCGCCCCTGGTGAGCCTCCTCCCTCTCTCGCCGTTTAATCCTGCCTTGTGCGGCGTTGACTCAAAGGCCGCTCTGGGCTCACCGCTGAGCCCTATGTGACCGTCCTCACCCTCTACCGCTGACCTCTCTCCTTCTCTCCCTCTCTCACTCTCTCCCTCCACGGGACACACGACAAAGGCACCCAGGTGCCGTGGGTGGTTGCACTCACGTGCCAAGTCACCCCTTCCTCGTTCCCCGCATGCCGCACGTCGTGTTGCTCTTCACTGAGACCTTACCCTCTCTTTCTGTGCCTTGCTGACGTGGCAGGCGATGATTGGCTGATCATGGGCTCGGACGGGCTGTGGGACGCAGTGAAGAGCCAAGAGGCCGTTGACCTGTGCCGCAAGCAAGGGTGCGTTGACTTGGGGTTTGTTCATGCTTGCTGTCCCCTCCGTCCCTCATTCTCCTTCTCCCTCACCTCATTTGCTTATTGCCCTTCCACGCTGCTTCATATTGTCTTGCCCTGTACCTCTTATTTTGCTCGTCACCCTGTTACTAAATATCCCCCTTACAAGCAGACCCGACGCACAGCTGGATGCAGTGGCAGCAGAGCTGATAGGCATGGCACAGAAGAGGGGGTCAACGGATGACATCAGTGCCGTGGTGGTGCGCCTTCCCACTGCTGACGCTGCTCCTGCTGCAGAACAGTAGGTGCAACTAGTTTACCGTAGCTACAGTAATTGACATCGACCAGGCATTGGAGTTATTGAGCTGGGCAATCACAGTCCAACCACGTCAAGAGGGCCAACTGGCAGCGGAGCACAGCATGGTAGCTGTGAGGCTTCTGCAAATCAATCGCAGCTGCTGAAGCTGCAATGGTGGGCTGCCAGCCTGTAGTTTAAGGTTGGTGGTACTCTGCTCAGGATGCAGTGCGGTTACTGGCATGATGCTGCAACTGTTGCAAGTTGATAGGCAGCCAGGCAGCTATGGTTGCTGATGTGGCATGGTAGTGTGAGTACATGCAAGTGGGGCTGCCTCTAGGGTACCGGTAGGTTCTGTTTGATGTACCCATCATTGCATTGTACAACGAGCGCATATGCGAAGATGGTGAATATGGCACGCAATAAATAACCAATTATGATTAATCAAGCCCCTATGCGGCAATAGGAGTGTGCAGAAATCCACTCAACCTATCAGCTGGGTGGGAACAAAAAATCAACAAACCTTTCAATGGCACCACAGTAACACCTCCCTCCCTCCGTAATACCGTATCGGTGGAATAGTCCGTTGGCTAGCGACACCAGCAGACCCCGCCCCTGCCTGTGCTCACTGTGGTGAATAAATTCCTCAACATCGCCACAGTGACTCAGCCCCCACCCGCCCCCGTCCCACCCCTTCCGTCCTAGTATCTATACTTGGTGGAATAGTCCTTTGGCGACACCACCAGACCTCGCCCCTTCCTCGCCCCTCTATAAACCGTCTCGACAATATCCGTGAACTCCTGCTTGTCCTTTAGCGCCCAGTTGATCTTGTTATTGTTACCGGTGCCCAGATCGATCATGATGTGCTTGTTGCGGAAGAAGAACATGACGGTGCAGGGGTCGTAGAGCTCGTACATGGTGTTGAAGTCGGGGACTTCGGAGATGTCGACCAGATAAACCACTGCAAAGTTCTTTATGGTCTCTGCCACTCCTGCCAGTACTTCGTCCATCTAATGGGCATCACAAGGGGGAGCAAGGAGGGAAAGATGGGGAGCAGAAGGAGGGGAACCATGATGTGCTTGTTGCGGAAGAAGAACATGACGGTGCAGGGGTCGTAGAGCTCATACATGGTGTTGAAATCAGGCACCTCTGATATGTCCACCAGGTAGACCACTGCAAAGTTTTTTATGGTCTCTGCTACTCCTGCCAGCACCTCGTCCATCTGATGGGCATCAAAGGGGAGCAGGGGGGTTCAAAGGAGGGAAACATTCGGGAGCAGAGGGAGGGGAGCATAGAAAGAATGGCGCAGGGGTCATATAGCCTGTACATGGTGTTGAAATCGGGTACTTCGGAAATATCCACCAAATATACCACTGCAAAGTTCTTTATGGTCTCTGCCACTCCTGCCAATACTTCATCCATCAGAGGGGAACCGGGGGGAGAAAGCCAAGGGGGGGAGGATGGGGAGCAAGGGAGGGGAGGGATGATGGCACAGGGGTGATAGAGCTCGTTGTACATGGAGTTGGATTCAGGCACCTCTAAAATATTAGCCAGATAGATCACTGCAAAGTTATTGACAGTTAATGCCACTCCTGCCAACACTTCGGCCATCTGATGAGCGGCGCAGGGAAGGGCAAGAGAAGGAAGGATGGGAAGGAAGGAAGGGAAGGGAAGGATGGGGAGCAGAGGGAGGGGAGAACATGGCAGTGCAGAGAACAGGTGATAGAGCTTGTACATGGTGTTGAAAACCAGCACCTCTTATGGGAAAACAGCGGAGAGAAAAAAAGGGGAGAAATGGGGGAAGGACGAGCGAGGTGGAGAGAGGGGAGGTTGAACGGCGTGAGGACGGAGGGGGATGAATGAGGGGGAGGAAAATGGGATCGAGCGGAGAAATGAAGGTGAAAGGGTGGGGGGGTTTTGAAGGATATGGGAAAAGGAGGGACATGGACGGTGGACGGTGGGAGGAGAAATGGGAAGACAGGGATGGTGAGCACCTGGACCTCCCACATGGTACTTGCTGCATGCTCTGCCCCCATCCCATATGCTCTTTCCGCCCCTCTACACACGCCGTCCCAACTGCATGTACACGTCATCGCACTTGCATGCTCACGTCACCCCACCTGCATGCACACGTCATCCCACCTGCATGCACACGTCATCGCACCTGCATGCACACGTCACCCCACCTGCATGCACACGTCATCCCAGTCGTGGCCGAAGCGGATCACGACGACGCGATCCTCCTCCGACAGAATCGCCTGATCCACGGCCCACCCGCTGTGCAGATGCGGTAACAGGTACGACATCGCGACGTCGCCCGGCGACGAGTGGCGACAATTGGCGACGGAAGACGACGGCCAGGCGACGGAAGGTGTAGGACGGCGAAGGAAGGCGACGGATACGCCGATACACCTGTCTGCGTGTGGCGACAAAAGCTGCTGACCGAGCAATGGCAGGTGAAAGAACACCGAAGAAACTATTACTAACAGAATGGAACTCAGCGTTGACTGTCAAGGCGCAGCACTCACCCTGCTTTTGTCATGGGCCAGGTTCCAGAGGAGAGTAATTCGGGTCAGGTGCGAGGGGGAGTGTTGGAGAAGCAAAGTTTCTGGAGCAGCAAGCGGGAACGTCGGCGACAATTTCAAGGCTTCGCGAATCGTTCAGAAACTTCCGCAACGAATCAGATTTCAGCCTGAGTTTCCTTGCAGCTCTCGTAATTGCGTGCGAAAACTCGCTAGAGTCGCATGCGATACATACAACAACAGAAACGATGCGCTGAAATTGCATAGGAAGGCTCGAAATCTTTCCAAGTCCGAATTCTACCCAAGCGCCTCACGCCCTTTTGTTCTACCGAGCATGCTCCACATGGACTTTGCTGCCTAGTTACCACCACAATGGCAGCTTTATACGTCCGCCCGCACCGCCCTTTTCGCTGGCGCAATGGCAGATTCACATGGCATTTATTACTGCCGTTCGCCCTGATCCTTGCTTGTAACGATTCCCATGCCTCGGCTGAAGACGCCATTGATTGTAAGGCTCGTTTCTTTGCTAGTTTTCGAGTCACAAAACAGAGTGTCGGTGCCTGGTCTCGTCATTTCCAGTGCCTCGGGCGTATGACACGGCGTCACCGACTCGAGACGTGTCATTCTAGATAATTTGTTGCATACTACTGACTCGAGACTTCGCCCACAGTTTAGGGTAACGAAGTCACGGTCGCTCGCTCCGTAGCACGTCGTTACCAACAGGGTACTAACGGGAGGCCCGTGAGGCGGCGTGCGTGGAGGCGTCTCCCGCCTCGTTGCGAAAACAAGTATGCGAGAGCGAGCATATGAGAGCAAGAATGCGAGAGCGAGCATATGCGAGCAAGCATGCGAGGTAGAGAGTTCTGTCGGACGGAGAGAGCGAGTGTGAGTCGACAAGGGCAGCCGAAGATTCCGCGATAGAGTCAGAATCGACTCGCATCGAGGCTTGTAATTGACCTGTCATTGGAGACTCATGTGGCTCAACCGTCAACAGTGGTTTGTTCTTTCCGCTCAGTATCTCTGGAACTGGATCGCCAAGAGGGGACGATGCTCGCTTATTTAGGCGGGAAACGGCGAAGAGGACGAGTTTCATGCTTATCGTTGCTTGATTCCCCCCGGGATGTCATATCGCACGGACTCAATCTGCGGCTCTGCATATTTTGTGTGACACTCCGATCCCTCACGCACTGGGCAAAGTGCAGGACTGAGCAGAGCCTGGACGCTGCCGGGTTGGGTTGGCCCAAACGTGCAGACGGTAAGTTGGGCGCGCCAGGATTATGGCAGGCATTAACGCTGCCGCAGACGCACTGATGTGTGTTGTGGTTGTGCCCTCTCTGTTTGTCTGATTGCGGATGTGTGTCAGAGTGTGAGGGAGTGACGCAAGACATGGCAGTGTGAGGGAGTGACGCATGACATGGCAGCGTGAGGGAGTGGTGCATGACATGGCAGCGTGAGGGAGTGGTGCATGACATGGCAGCGTGAGGGAGTGGTGCATAACATGGCAGCGTGAGGGAGTGGTGCATGACATTGCAGCGTGAGGGGTCAGTGCAGGCCACGGAAGCAAGACAATTAAGAATGTGACTCTTTGATCCTGTAGCGATCTGGTTACCTTTCTACAGAAAGCTGGAGCGAAGGCATGTGCCTGCCTGCAGTGTTGCAGACCAAGTAGATTGCAGTCTGAACCGATCCCCATCAACGGCTCGCCGCCTGTCCTTCTATTGCCGTACAAAATCTTATCCTTCCAAGTTCATGTCCTTCCCTACCTTTCCTTTCGTGTCTCTAAAGTTCAGGTGATGAGCGATTGTGCAGCTGCCTGGGGTCGGAATGACCTCCCTTCCTCCCCCTGCTACTCGGAGCTCACTAAATGCGACCCCGTGTCTCGAAACACAATCTCCCTGTGAGCTGGGAAATGCGGCCATGTGTCTGAGTCTGACAACACATCATCCCTGGGAGAAGGAGCTCACTAAATGCGACCCTGTTTCTCGAAAAACATTATTCCTGTGAGAAAGAGCTAGGAAAGCGGCCATGCGCAGTTGGGAGTGGTTCCTGTGCTGTGCTGTATCATAATGGTTTAATTAGGTTGGTTTTGAGACGTCTCAGAGCAGAGCCAACCCTATATCATAGTGGTGGGATTTCCAGCACATAGAGTTCTTGTGCATATAGAACTCACATCACTCGCAAGAAGCAAGTTCGATAACTAACTCTTGAAGCCGAACCGCCTGGTAGTACCAAAGTCAGCCCCCACTCCCTCTCCCGCTGCTGGTGTGCAGGAATTTCTCCAGCATGGTGCTAACAGGGGTTATCCCACCCTCGATTGGCCTTCTCACTGTTCTCACCTACCTGTACGTCTCTTCCGTTCCACTTCACCACACCCATCCAGCCCCCCTCACCCCCCGCCCTTCTTCTTTTTCCTCCGTCCCTGGTTGGGAAAGATCCGTCCGCTTGTGAGCTTGTCCCCTGGCAGCTAGGGTTATAGAAGGGCGACCTG